ATTTTTAGTAGAGACAGGGTTTCACCATGTTAACCAGGATGGTCTCAATCTCCTGACCTTGTGATCTGCCCGCCTTGGCCTCCCAAAGTGCTGGGATTACAGGCGTGAGCCACTGCGCCCAGCCAGAATTTTCCATAATAGAAGACTTTAATTATTACATGGAAGCAGCAGCCAGGGTCCTAAAGCAGAAGAAATAAAAACATGCAAACTCGGATTCATGATAAAACATCATAACATAACATCAAAGACTGAAGGAAATCTTAAAAGCAAACAGAAGAGAAATTACTAAGGAAAACAAGACAATTAGAATGATAGCAAAACATCTCATTAGCAACATATGCCACAAGACAACGAAATAACATTTTCAAAATGCTGAGGAAAAATAACTAAGAAATCTATATTTGGGAAGCAATGATAAATTAGACATTTTCAAACAAAGATTGAGAGTTTACCACTCTTACACTCTGGCTGAACAAATTACTAAAGGAAGTCCTTCAGTATGGATTCCTTCTTGACATGTTTTTAAATTCACAAAGTGCACAGGGTTACAGGCCGCTTGCAGTGGTTCACCCACCAGCACTTTAGGAAGCTGAGGTAGGTGGATCACTTGAGCTCAGGAGTTCAAGACCAGCCCGGGCAACATGGCAAAACCCTGTCTCTACAAAAAAGTGCAAAAATTAGCAGAGTATGCTATAATCCCAGCTACTCAGGAGGCTGAAGTGGGAGGATGGCTTGGGCCTGGGAGGTTGAGGCTGCAGTGAACCATGTTTGTGCCATTACACTCCAGCCTGGGTGCCAAAGCAAGACCCTGGGTACTTTAGTAGTTATATAAGTGTGTGTGTGTATATATATGTGTGTGTGTATATATATATTTGTGTGTGTGTGAGACAGGGTCTTGCTTTATGTGTATACATATATAGACATATACATATATATACACACACATACACAAAAGAAGTAAATTATACCAAAGTACAGTTACTTTGGACATGTATGTACAAAAAAATGAATTTAGACACACACTTTACACCTTTCCCAAAAATTAACTCAAAATGGATAATAAATCTAAGCGTAAAATGCAAAACTACAAAACTCCTAGAAGGTAACATAGGAGAAAATCGACATGCCGCTGGGTTTGGCCATGACTTTTTAGTTACAACACCAAAAGAATGTCCCAGGAAAGAAAAAAATTGACCAGTTGGACTTCATTAAAATTGAAAACTGCTCTGTGAAAGACGCTGTTAAGATAATGAAAAGACAAGCCACAGACTCAGAGAAAATCTCTGAAAAGCACGTATTTGATAAAGAACTGGTGTCCGAAATATACAAAGAACTCTTAAAACTCAATAATGAGAAAACAAAAACCCAATTAAAAAATGGGCAAAAGATCTAAACACCTCCTGTTACACAGATGACAAATAAGCATAAAAAAAGATGTTCCAGGGCTGGGCGTGGTGGCTCACGCCATAAACCCAGCACTTTGGGAGGCCAAGGTGGGTGGATCACCTGAGGTCAGGAGTTTAAGATTAGCGTGGCCATCACAGTGAAACCCCGTCTCTCCTAAAAATACAAAATTAGCTGGATGTGGTGGCATGCGCCTGTAATCCCAGCTACTTGGAAGGCTGAGGCAGGAGAATCATTTGAACCAGGGAGGCAGAAGTTACAGTAAGCTGAGATCGAACCATTGCACGCCAGCCTGGGCAAAAAAAGTGAAACTCCATCTCACAAAAGAAAAAAAAAAAAAAAAAAAAATGTCCAAATCATACATCATTAGAGAATGGCAATTTAAAACAACAATGAGATACCACTACACATGTATTAGAATGGCTAAAATACAAAACACTGACAACACCAAATCCTGGCAATGATGTGAACCAATAGTAACTCTTATCCACCATAGTTGGGAATGCAAAAACAGATACTTTGGCAGTTTCCTAGAAAGTAAACATAAACTTACCATAGAATCCAGCAATCATGCTCCTTGGTACTAAATGTGTTGAAAATTTATGTGTACACAAAACCTACACACGAATGTTTATGGCAGCTTTATTTGTAACTGCCCGAACTTGGATGTGACCCAGATGTTCCTCAATAGCTCAATGGATAAACAAACTGTGGTATAATCATAGAACAAAATATTATTCAGCAATAAAAAGAAATGAGCCATCAAGCCACTAATAGACATGGAGAAACCTCAAATGCATATTGTGAAGTGAAGGAAGCCAATCTGAAAAGGTTACACACTACATGATTCCAACTATATGCAAAAGGTGAAACTATAGAGACAGTAAAAAGATCAGTGGTTGCTAGAGTTTCAGGAGAAGGAAGGGATGAATAGGTGGGGAACAGCAGATTTTTAGGGCAGTGAAACTATTCTGTACAACACTATAATTGTGAATACACATCATCGTGCATTTGTCAAAACTCACATAATATATAACACCAAGAATGAACCCTAATGTAAGCTATGGAATTTAGTTAATAATAAATCAATATTGGCTCAATTGTGACAAACTTATTACACTAGTATAGGATGTCAATAATAGGGGAAACTGTGTGCATGGTGAGGGAGGAAGGGCATGTTTGGGAACTCTGTACTTTTCCATCAATGTTTTTCTGTAAGTCTAAAACTGCTCCCAAAAAACCATCTACTGATAAAGAGAAAATCAAAAAACAATAAAAACAGCAACAACAAAAACAATACCTTTACATATGGGAAGATGAAAATTAAAACGTTCTAAGTTCCTCATATTGTTTTGTAGAAAGAGATGTTGATTATCTTTAGACTTTCAGTCAAATAATGCACATCAAAAATTTAAAAGTAACTGCTAAACGAAAAGAGGATGAAGTAAAACAACTCCTGTTATAAAGCAAATCTATTCCTTTTAACTGTGGCAGCTTACCTGAGATTCCAGAACCTCCAATTTACGTTTCCTTGCATGAAGAGCTTTACTTGGAAAAGCCCAATAATAATTAGAAGTTCCGATCCTCTCACAGTCAACCATACCATCATCAACTAAGCTCTGAAGGACTTCTTTTACTGACATAGCAGCTAAGAGACAATTTTTAAAGACTCTATGTTAAAAAAACACCATAAATAAAATTAAAGGACAAATAACCGGGGAAACACTTGCAAAACATATGACAAATCAAGAATTAAAAAGTTAATAAATAATAAGCTCTTAAAAATAACAATATGCACAACAAAAAATTGCCTAAGGAAACATTCCTTAGAATGTATCCCCATCCTTAAGCAAAGCATAACTTATATAGGAGCTTAGGGGAAAACAGGTCATATACAGGATTAAGAATAGGACCTGAGTTCTAGTCCTAACTCTTAGCAGTAACACTGGATGACTCTAGGGCAAACTGTTCTTTATGCCTAATTTTTAAAACCTATTAGATATGATCATTTCCAAACCTACTTTGGTGCACAGCGGTAATGTCAATAAAATGTTACTTGTGAGAAGCCTTTGAAAAAGTAAAACAGAACTACAGAAATGCAAGTTTTTCTCCCCCAATAGATTATGTACTAATAGAAGATACTAGCATCAGTGCTTAGTAAGTAATTTTAATAGTGTTAACGCTCATAGTCTGTTGCTATATGGTATCTTTTCCTTTTCTAAATAATGTTTCTTTTTTAAAAAAAGATGTTGGGTAATTTGGCTATCATCTTATACTGCAGAAAAAAATTGTCAATCACTGGGAGGGAAAACGGTAAGAAAAAAAGGAATCTAGTTAATACAAATTTTTAAAATAAATTTTTCCATCTTGTAGACTGTATTGAATTTTGATTTTGATCCTTCAAGATACAGTTGAGATTCCATTACCTACAATTTGTCTGGGGATATTAGGACACTGGTGTAATTAAAACTGTATAGTTGACCCTTGAACAGTACAGGTTTGAACTGTATGGGTCCAGTTATACGTGGATTTGCTGCCACCCGAGACAGCAACACCACTTCCTCAGCCTACTCAACGTAAGATGACAAGGACGAAGACCTTTAGGATGATCCACTGCCACTTAATGAATAGTAAATACATGGTATGGCTTCCCATCAACAGCAGGCTATCAGTAGTTAAGTTTTGGGGGAGTCAAAAGTTACATGCAGATTTTCAATTGTGTGGGGGATTGGTATCCCAATCTTGAACAACACAGGTGTTGTTCAAGGGTCAGCTGTGTATTTAAACTTAAGAAATTTTCCTATCTTTAAGAAGTAGCAGAACTAATTGTTCACTGATGACTGTAAAGACAGAATAACTGTGTGGTGTGCATAAAAGTGTGAGGGACTCTCAGTGGTTGTCTAGTTTCATTTGTATGTACATTCATAATAAAAGAGGTTTTTTCATTTTGAAACAACATAAGACACAGAAAAAATACATCAATGTGCATCTATAAAATATGCATGGTGGCTCATGCCTATAATCCCAGCACTTTGGGAGGCCGAGGCAGGTAGATCACTTGAGGTCAGGGGTTTGAGACCAGCCTGGCCAACATGGCGAATCCCCATCTCTACTAAAAATACAAAGGTTAGCTGGGCATGGTGGCAGGCACTTGTAATCCCAGCTACTTATGAGGCTGAAGCAGGAGAATTGCTTGAACCTGAGAGGCAGAGGTTGCAGCGTGCCAGGACTGCACCACTGCACTCCAGCCTGGATGACAGAGTAGATTCTGTCTCAAAAAATAAATAAATAAATAAAATTAAAATAAAATGAAATATGCATGGCCAATATATGAGAAAAATGTTCAACCACATTAATAACTGAAGAAATAAAAAATAAAGCAATTAGACATGACTACCCAATTAAAAACACTAAAAAAATAAAGAATTCAAGGAAATGGGTACTCTCAGTATGGGTGGAGAAATGTGGCATTCTGTAGCTAAAACTTTAGATTTATACATATCTTTTTTTTTTTTTTTTTTGAGACGGAGTCTTGCTCTGTCCCCAGGATGGAGTGCAGTGGTGCGATCTCGGTTCACTGCAAGCTCTGCCTCCCAGGTTCACGCCATTCTCCTGCCTCAGCCTCCTGAGTAGCTAGGACTACAGATGCCCGCCACCATGCCGGGCTAATTTTTTTATTTTTATTTTTAGTGGAGACGAGGTTTCACCGCGTTAGGCAGGATGGTCTCAATCTCCTGACCCTGTGATCTGCCTGCCTTGGCCTCCCAGAGTGCTGGGATTACAGGCGTGAGCCACCGCGCCCAGCCTGATTTATACACATCTTTTATGGGGAAATTCCACCTTATAAATACAGCCAAACAAAACAATAATAGATACATAAAAGGATGCCTGTCAATACATTGTTTTCGATAGCAAAAAAACTGGAAACCAGTCTAATAACTGGATTTTTATTTTAAAGACAGGATTTTGCTATGTTGCCTAGCTGGCCTGAAGCGATCCTCCCGCTTCAGCCTCCAGAGTGGCTGGGACCTCAAGGTGTGTGTGCTACCACCCAGCTTATCAACTAGATTTTTAAAAGTATTTTTTATTGCAATGGGATGCTATACAATCATTTATGTTATAAAAGGATATTTAATGACAGGGATATATATTCAAAATGTAATATACAGGATGTATTATACAGAAAAATAAAGGACAACACGACAGTGGTTATCTTTGGATGGTAGGTAACTGGTGGTAATTTCTTTGTCTCTAGAAATTCAGGTTTTCCATAAAGTGAAAGACTGTTGCAGAAAAGATGACTTAATGAATATTAAGATATTTCCCAAAACATCCCAGTATATTTCCCAAAACATTCCAGTGTAATTTTGGTACTTACTAATGCCTTTCTCTTTGGGAGCAATCTTCTCCAAGTCTTTTAATTGAAACACATCTTTCTGTTTAAAAGAGTTTTAAAGAAAATGAAAAGCACATGTTTATTTTCTACTATGTATATTATCTTTTTAAAAAACTTTTATTATGGGTATATAATAGTTGTATACATTTACAGGGTATGTGTGATATTTTGATACAGGTATACAATGTGCTATGATCAAATTGTGGTAATTAGGGTATCCATCCCTTCAAACACTGATCATTTCTTTGTGTTAGGAACATTCCGATTCCACTTTTAGTATTTTAAAATATACAATATATTATTGTTAACTATAGTCACCCTATCGTGTTCTATTATATATTTATATATACATCATAATTTTATGTTCATGAAAAAATGTATTTAAAAAATTGGCCTGGAAATGAACAGTATAATAGAATCAAGCATTTTAGAGCTTATAAGAAACTCTTTGATTATCTCATTCAATACCCTCAATAGAACTTAAAATGAAGAGATTTTTGCATACATATACAATTTTTTTTTGTTTGAGACATGGTTTCACTCTATCACCTAGATGGGAGTGCAGCGGCATGATCATGGCTCACTGCAGCCTTGACCTCCAGGGCTCAAGCAATCCTCCCACTTCAGCCTCCTGAGGGAGAACATAAAGAACAATAAAGTTCTTGGAGATCAGAACATAAAGAACAATCTTCCCACTTAAGTATAAAAACTAGTTATAGGCCAGTCACGGTGTCTTCTGTCTGTAATCCCAGCATTTTGGGAGGACTGCTTGAGCCTAAGAGCTGGAGACTGGCCTGGGTAACATATTGAGACCACTCTTGCACCACATCTCTACAAAATCAAAAAATTAGCTGGGTGTAGTGGCGTGTGCCTGTAGTCCTAGATACGTGGGAGGCTGAGGTGGGAGAATCGCTTGAGCCTGGGAGGTTGAGGCTGCAGTAAGCTATGACTGTGCCACTATACTCCAGCCTGAGTAGAGAGTGAGATTCTGTTTCAAAAAACAAAACAAAACAGAAACGGTATCAAAAAAACAGCAACCTAGTTATACTGGATCACATGGTAACAGGAGCGAATTACCTTCTCTGACACTTTGATTTTAAGAAAACACAGACAGTGCTTTAACATGTATGACACTGTACAGATTTAGCAGTTCTAACTAAAAGCAAAACAGGCAACTGTCAGGTTTCGTGGAAGGGGTTTTGTGGAAGAGCTATACCTAAACAATAGGGAAATTATACAATTCATGGCTGCCTATCAATCATTCACATATACATGTTGCATGTCCACCATATGCAAAGGAAAACATTAAGGGAAGATATGCATGTTGAATATTTAAATCTTACGACCAGAAAAAAAAAAAAAAACTGTCTAGAATATTATTTTCTACTGCTAATAAGCCTTGGTTGAAGTGGTGAAAAGAACTTGCATAACAAAAGTTAAATCATTTGAAAAAACTAAAGTACGTAGTAATTAGAACAGAAATATTGTGGATGGGCATGGTGGCTCACGCCCCTGTAATCCCAGCACTTTGGGAGGCTGAGGCGGGTGGATCGTTTGAGCTCAGGAGTTCGAGACCAGTATGGCCAATATGGCAAAACCCTGTTTCTACTAAACATACAAAAATTAGCTGGGCGTTATGGCGGGCACCCGAGTAATCCCAGGTACTCGGGAGGCTGAGGCACAAGAATCGCTTGAACTTGGGAGGTGGAGGCTGCAGTAAGCCAAGATCACATCACTGCACTCCAGCCTGGGCAACAGAGAGAGACTCAGTCTCAAAACAAAACAACAACAACAAAAAAACCCAGAAATATTTTGATTATTGTTACGAAAAATTTGGGATACAGTTCTTCCAAAATAAACTTGAAAAGGCAACTGCACTTGGAAATTATACTTCATAAAAATTTAAAACTTCTGCTCATCCAAGGGCACTGGAAAGAAAATGAAATGACAAATACCAACTAGATTAAAATAACTGCAAAACATGTACCTGGAAAAGGCCTGGCACCCAGCATATACATATATAAAGAACTCCTTTGAAGTACATTAAAAAAAAAGAGTTGATGGAGAGATAAGAAGTAGATAGATGAATATATATGTGATAAAGCCAGAAGAATAAAATGCGAATGGTAGAATCTAGGTAGTAGGCATATGGGTATTCACTGAAAAACTCATCTTTGCTGTATGTTTGAAA